GACCTGGAGAGTGGACAGATGTCAGGCATCATCCTGGTATCTGCCCATTTTATACAACCTGACATTTTATACAGTCAGCTCTTACAGATGCAGCCTCTTTTTGCAGCAGATAAGATAAGAAGGTTAGTCACGGCATTCCACAGGGCTCTGTGTTAGGTCCAATTCTCTTCACTTTATACATTCTCCTTTTAGGCAATATTATCAGGAAGCACAGCATAAATTTCCATTGTTATGCAGATGATAGTTATATTTATCTATGAAGCCAAATGAATCAGATCAGCTGGTCAAACTTCAAGCATGTCTTAAAGACATAAAGGCCTGGATGACCTGTAATTTCTTACTTCTAAACTCTGACAAAACTGAAGTCATTGTGCTTGGGCCTGAAAACATTAGAAATCTGCTGTCTAATCATATAGTTACTTTAGATGACATAGCTCTCGCCTCCAGTACTACTGTGAGGAACCTTGGAGTCATTTTTGACCAGGACATGTCCTTTAAATCACACATAAACCAAGTCTCTAGAACTGCCTTCTTTCACAATATTGCAAAAATCAGGAGCATCCTGTCTCAAAGTGATGCTGAAAAACTGGTCCATGCATTTGTTACTTCCAGGCTGGACTACTGTAACTCTTTACTATCAGGATGTCCCAATAATTCCCTAAAAAGCCTCCAGTTAATCCAAAATGCTGCAGCCAGAGGACTGACAGGAACGAGCAAGAGAGATCATATCTCTCCCATATTAGCTTCTCCCCACTGGCTCCCTGTAAAATTCAGAATAGAATTTAAAATCCTTCTCCTAACATACAAAGCCCTTAATAACAAGGCTCCATCATATCTTAAAGACATCATAGAGCCTTATCATCCTAACAGAGCACTTCACTCTCAGAGTGCAGGTTTACTTGTGGTTCCTAGAGTCCACAGAAGCAGAATGGTTTTCTGCTGAGAGCAAACTGTCAAATTTTAGCATGAGGTGGTAGCTGATAATGTGACATGGCAAAGGTAAAAGTTTATGGCTTGTTTGAGTAATGTTTTTATGCTCTGAATACCCTAAGCCACTGGCTTTTGAATGTACCACATCATCATATTGGTGAAGGTGGTGTGGATTAGAGTTGCAGCTGTATACCAGTTTCACAGTATACCACTCAGCCAACTACACCAGTCAAATCCTGCTTATATCAATGCATGAGTGATAGGCTGTTAATGTAATACCTAGAATATACGGTATACAATTTTTCTGCAGTGAGTAGCCTACTACCTCTTTTAATACTTTAGTACATGTTTGTGTTGATACTTGATTTCACTTAAAATTTTCAATGCAGGACTTGTACTTGAATCAGAGTAGTCTATTTTTACAGTGTGATATTAGTACCGGTACTTTAAAATAAAGGATGTGAATACTTCCTCTGCTACTGATGCTAACATGCACATTAACATACTGTAGTTACACTGAACAAAATTATAAATGCAAAACTTTTGTGTTTGCCCCCATTTTCATGAGCTTGTTCTATGTACACAAAAGGCCTATGTCTCTCAAATATTGTTCACAAATCTGTCTAAATCTGTGTTAGTGAGCACTTCTCCTTTGCCGAGATAATCCATCCACCTCACAGATGTGGCATATCAAGATGCTGATTAGACTGCATGATTATTGCACAGGTGTGCCTTAGGCTGGCCAGAATAAAAGGCCACTCTAAAACGTGCAGTTTTATCACAAAGCACAATGCCACAGATGTCGCAAGTTTTGAGGGAGCGGGCAATTGGCATGCTGCCTGAAGGAATGTCCACCAGAGCTGTTGCCCATGAATTGAATGTTCATTTCTCTACCATAAGCCATCTCCAAAGGCGTTTCAGAGAATCCAACCGGCCTCACAACCGCAGACCACCTGTAACCAAACCAGCCCAGGACCTCCACATCCAGCACCTTCACCTCCAAGATCGTGCACATAGAACAAGTCATAGATCTTTGAGTTCAGCTCATGAAAAATGGGGGCAAACACAAAAGTGCATTTATAATTTTGTTCAGTGTATTTCATCAGCATTGAGTATGGTAACTGCTGTTGGGTAAAAACTATTCCTGAATCTAGTGGTCCTTGATTTGATTGCTCTGAACCGTCTACCTGACGGCAGCAGTTCAAAGAGTGAACGTCCAGCTAGTTAAATATTACCTCTAAGAGTTGGAAAGGTGCTTTCAAAAACTGTTCATGAGAAGATGAACCAAGAAATAGCACAAATGTATCCCATTACATGTTTTGTCTAAAATTTCTATCTCTAAATTTATGTAGGATGAAAAAGTTTTCCAATCTGAGCTCAGATGACAAACAATTATTATTCATTATCACAGTGTGATAAATGGTGGAATCACTGGTTACCAAGCAAAATGTAGCATAGCAATTAATCAGGTCTATTTTAAACTGTTGGTAGACGGGTAGTGGCAATTATATAATGTACAAGTGTCTTTACAGTTTGAGATGTAGACTGCTGTGTGCTTGACATGATCAGACAAATCTGCTTCACCAAATGCTGCACTATGGAACATTGTATTGTTAGAAATTAACCCGATTCTTTTGTTGTGTTGGACCCCCGTTCTTTTCACCATGCTAACTCTGAGAGACGAAGCAGTCCGAGTAACTTCAAAACAGTGCTGATTTATTCAATGAACACAGGTAAAATTAACATTACACGCTCAGGAGTCTTTGCACCTCCAACACGCACGCAGGCAGCTGGTAGACCCAGGGGCAGGGACTGCAGCAGGGGTACTGCACTCTCAGGGCATTTATGTGGCTGGTGGGACAGGAAGCTGCCACTGCTGAGATCTCTTTTGGAAAATATCTTTTGGCTTTTATTAATGTTAGAGACAAGAAGCATATTGTTAAATTTGGCTTACATTACAGGAGACAAAACTTTTTTAAACACAGTCATTACTTTTGATTATACTGCAACTGCTTGGAATGAGGAGAGTTTACTTTAGCTTGGATGTGCTGGTTACCTGAGCTGGTTCAAAGTAGACTGGCTCATCAAGACATATGACATGTTTGGGTTTAACTTAACCAGCTGATGTTAAAGGGGCGGGGCTAGGAATATGCAGCAGAAAGATTGAAGAAAGAGGTCAGTGGTTTGAAACCCCAGGTTTTGGTTTCAGTATACTGTAACTTGTCTATGGTCACAGTTACCAAAAAAAATTAGATCAAGGTAAATCTATCCTCTCTTTCCTGGCACTGCTGTGAATCTTTTTGTGAACTAGTATTATAACAAAAAACTCAGTGTCTAAAGGGTGCACTGATCAAAGGGTGGCCTAAGCTC